GTGGAGGAGATTTCAGAAACATCTGCAGGAACCACACCTGAGAACACTTCCAGCCACAGAAGCTGCTCCGAGCCAGGGCAGGTGCCACCGGCAGGTTGCTCAAGCACATCCTGCTGGCCCCATCCTGCTGGCCGTCCAGCACTCACTCTGGTCAGAGAATCTGGTGAAACTTTCCCCAGCGCTGGCCTCATGGGTATTCCCGAGGTCTCCCTCTGCCCAGTCATGCCACGTTCAGACACCTGTACCAAGTATTCACAGTGACACAGCCACCATGCTTCTTCATTTTCCCTGTTCATGGGTGGGGATGTTTTGACCCATAATCTAAAATTGCATTTTATATAAGCTCAGAGCATTGACTCTCCCCAGCTCCACGCCTGCTGGAACAGGTTCCACTTCAGTGTGGCCCTTGCCAGAGTAAATAAAATCCAGGCTCACCATCCCAAACTGTCCAAAGACCTAGAAACTCATAGGAAGTTAGCGAGCTCCGCCAACACAAACCCCTCATCGTAACCAGGAGCCTGGGAATGTGCATTAGCCAAGGTTTCAATTTGGCCTAAGAGTAAAGGAGGTTGATTATGTATTTTTTTTTCTCTTTTTCTTAAAAGCAAAAAACTTCCAAGTCACACACCCATAGCTGGATTAAGACCCATGGCTTAGCTGAACACAAGAGTAAAACAGCCAGGAACCCTCACTTAGTGCCGCCTGGTTCGCTGGACTCTGCTCTAAACACTTCACCTAGACTGATTCACTCAGTCTTTATGCAGATTCTCTGCGGCTGGTGCTATTATTATCCCCAGTTGACAAATGAGGAAACAGGGTACAGAGAGACTTAAGTCATGCCCCATCCCTGAGGTTTGCTGATTCCATCTTTCCTCTCCTCGATGTGGCACTGCATGAGGCAAAGGAAAATTTCAGGATGCCCAAGCATCACACTGCATCATCACACTGAGCAGCTGGGACCACTCGCGGAAGCAGGGAGCCGCCTTTACGGAAATCAGGAGTCAATGGCTCTCGTGTCCCTCCAGGGCCACTTTCACTGGAGGCCCCTGGAGCCCAGCACCACCTCAGGAGCCCAGGGTCCCTCAGACATACCCTACTAAGCCCAGTTCCCATTGGCAGGAGCCACAGCATCACCAGGTCAGCTGTGAGGAAACAGAGGCCAGCAGCTGGAGTGCAGGCCCAGCTGCCTCTGGCCTTCCCCACCACATTCCAAGGCAGTATACCATCACAGGGGGAGCAGAACATCATGAGCTCCCCTCAGTGACACCCAATCACATGGACACCAGGAAAGATATCAGGCTGGGGCACCGTCCGGCGCAGCCTCCACCTCCCATTGGAAAATGCACAAAGAAAGTTTTTGTCATGACAGAAAGGGGGACAATCCCTCCAAGCTCAGAGCAGATGTGTGCATTAACAGGAATCAACAAAGTTTCATACCCTTAATAGGAATTTCCCCCCAATCCAGTTATCAACAGCCAATTGAACACTTTCATTTATACCAAAAAAAATAATAATAATACATCTCTATGAATTACTTGTAAAAAAAACTTCTAAAAACTTCTAACAGGTAAAAATGTATAGTTTCATCTTGACCCAGATACTAAAAAGCTCATAACTGTCACAGCTCAGGGGAAGTTTCCCTTAATATTGGTGGCAGTGATGACACTACTCAGGAAGATGAGCTCAGATCAGATGGCAGAGGCAACCGATGGCACGGGAGACTTTTTTTTTTTTCCTGAGTTCTTTCAAACTAGGCAGGCTCTCTCTGATGGGTACAATGGCACAGGAAGAGGACACTGATGCCTTGGGGGACATTCTGGGCCTGAGACATCTCTCCCCAAAGCACTGATTCTCCCTATCCTCATAGATCGGGTGGACCTCACTGGGAGGGGCCACGGCTGGATGCAGACCGTCCATTCCTATTTGTGGTTGGTCGCAGAGCTGGGCAACAGAAGAGGCTCTAAAGAGGCTTCCTGGAGCTCAGCACACCATCACCAAAGAGAGTGCCGTTCAAAGGTTTCTGGGCAGGAAATGTCAAAGAATGAGGTATCTCGATGAAGGCAAGCCAGACAATGAAAGCAGTCTGCTCTCAGAAACTGAGCTCCCTGCTCCCCAGAGCCCTTCAAAGGCTCCCAGATGCGGGCAGGTCTGCAGAATGAACTCTAAGCCAGTCTTCTCCCCGCCGCCAGACAACCACACATAACACACAGGCCACGTCCTCAAGGCAAAAACAAAGGTGTCAAGGTGCTCTGCAGGGACGCAGGGCTTGTCTGTAAAGGAGCAGATCTCTGAGATTCCACCGCGATCTCATAAAGCCTCCACTCTGCGGTTCACGCCTGGCTGAGCACGCTCATCCACGGCTGCAGCCTTGATCATCGAGCTGTTTCATCACTCAGATCGGCGACCTAATTTGGAGACAGGCAATGCAGGCAAGTTGCTTGCTAAGACCAGGAGGGAATGCGGATGCTTTAAAAGTTATCACAGAGGCGGGGGTTGTGGCTCAGAGGTAGAGCGCTCGCCTAGCATGCATGAGGCACTGGGTTCCATCCTCAGCACCACATAAATGTAAAATAGAGGTTATTTAAAAAAAAAAAAGTTATCACAGAAGATGACTGTGAACATCAGAACTGTTTAGGAAAGAGGCAGAGGGAGCACCTGGAAGGGTGGCAGGATGTGTCGGCCAAGCCCACAGCAGCCTTATCCATGAGATGGAGGGGTGCAGAGTCTAGCCTCGGGTCTCTCCAAAAGGGAAACTGAGTCCCTAGGGCTGACCAGGCCTGGCATGCTGGTTCTGGGTTGGTAGAATCCTTAGGCCAGGTCACCTGTGCAACTTCTCTGGGCAGAGCACCGGAGAAGTGGTGTGGGGCGGTCTCTACCCAGCTCTGGTCCTGCTCAGCTTGAGCCACACCAGGCTTGGAGGCTGTCCTGGGTTCAGGTGGAGGTGCCAGGATGCAGAAGGAAGAGGGCAGCGTGAGTGGTGGGCGGCTCCAGGCTGTACCCATGCCTGGGGCGATGGGTGACGGGTGACAGAGGTGCCTGCCAGGCAGCTGGGCACTGTGCTCCCCAACTTCCTCCCCCAAATGCTAGGTCCTGGTGCAGTGCTGGCTCCTCCCACAGGCCAGGTGTGGGAGGGTTAATTGATGGAGAGGCTGGGGAAGGTGGGGAGAGGGGGCCCCCAGGGGGTGCTAACCCACTGCACCTCCCTGTGCAGCAGCCAAAGGTGCTCAAGCTTCTCTTGAGTTACTTAGATCAATGGAGATGTATGTGCACACACATATACCCACAGGTACAGGCCCTGGACCCACGCAAGCTGAGCACCCCACTCTGATTCTCCCTACACCTCTTTAGCTTGAATGTTCCCTAAGAGCTGAGAGGTTTGTTTGGGCTCCTGGTCCCCAAGCCCACCCCCCCAACACACTTCACTCTTGTGTACCCTGGAGGAGACCCATCCTGAAGTCGGTGTGTCCTGATCACCTATGGGTGTGTATCTATGTACTGTATACATATGGGAATTGTCAGTCCTCTCCAAAAGCAGAAAGAAGTGCTGAGAAATCAGATCTCATTTACATACGGCCAGGGTTTCCACAGCCTCCCTCCTGACACTGTAAATCCATTAAGTGAAATAAGACAGCAAAGCCCAGACGCGGAGGGGTCCTTGGAGGGGACCTGGAGGAGGGACTACAAGCAGATGGTCGGCAGGAACACGCCCTCTCCTGCGGGAGGTGTGGATAAACAGGAACCAGCCCTGGCATTCCCAACAGGTGAGATAAGGAAAACAGGTGCAGCCTACCTGGTGTTTATCTTCTTGGCTTTTACTTGGAGAAATATTTCTCCTCTATTGCCTACTGTACTATGTTTAGGATCCCATCAGTTTCCGGACTTTTCTCTGGTTTCTGTTTTTTTCTTTTTTCTTTCTCCTTACCCCATTGATCTAAAACAGCAATTTTTGTAAAATACAGATGTATTTTTATTACCAATATTTATGAACATATTTTTAAAAAATCATGTTTATATATAATGTCCTTGTTTTCATCTAACAATTTTCTTTTAACATCAGCAATTTTAATTCCCCTTCAGACTATGAAAGACCCTCATCCCACCCCCATGCCACTGTCTGCCTGCCCACTGTCTGCCCACTGTCTGCCCACTGTCTGCCCCCTGAACAAGTCAATTTTCCAGGTGTTAAATAACATTGAATAATAATTATATAATCAGCATAAAAATTCCACCCCAGGAAGACACCTCACATTTTCTGCCTGGTTTCTGTGACATTTCCTTGAACTCCAGGGATCCTGGCCCCTCAGTTACCGTATTTATTTTCTTATTGATTTTACTAGTTATTTTCTCACTGATTGTATTACTTGGAAGTCCTAATTTCCAGCTGAGAGAATGAGTGCATTTTAAATGTGACGTATGGGCCCAGTGAAAAGCCAGCGACCTCTGAGTCATTTTCTCCTCTCCACAGGCTTCCCTGGGGGTGGCAAGGGACGGTGTCTCACAGGGTCCTGCTGGAGGCCCACTGGCCATTTGCCTGCCTGCCTTGGCCTCTGGTTTTGTAGGTCATTTTTGTTTTCGTGTCATATCTAGTGCTAAAGTGAGGTGTCACCTTGCCCACACCATTGCCACAGGTACCAGGAAGAGGGGCAGGACATATGTGTATATGTGTGTGCACACACATCTCCATTAATCTAATAGTCTAAAACACTCCTGTGCTCACAGGTGCCCAGCAAGGGCAGGCAGGAGGCCAACCCAGGCCTCGGGCGCACAGTGCATGTTCACCTGTGGGCATGTGACGAGCCAAGTCTACCCAATCGATTCTGAGAAGCCACCAGAAAGAGAGAAGAGTGACTTCAAATCACTTGTCGATTTCACTTGGCCCTAGGACACCGTCTACCTTGGAGAAACAAGCGTGGTTTAGTAAGCTCGGCTCTGTCTAGCGCTGCGTGGGGCCTGTGCTAGGTGCTCAGTAAACACGTACTTGACCCACACACGCTGCGCCTCTGCTCTGGCCCTCCTTACACCACTTCCTCTTGAAGGTTCCCCAAGAGCAGACAGGTTTGTGTGGACGCCAGTTCTCTCCCACCCGTTGCCCTTGCTGACCGTCCAGGAGACCCGCCCTGAAGCCAGGCACGTCTCCGTGGGCAGAAGTGAGCCTCCCAGGACTCCACAGGGAACCCACCTGGCTTCCTCTGACCAGTGCCCCTGCCTCACAGAGCATCGCCCTCTGTCCACTCCCCTCGGGTCTCTGCACTAAGCTCATGTCCCAAGGCCTATGAGGACCTGCTGGGGGAAGTGGGTGAATGACTCAGCTGTCCCCCACCCTGTCCCCTTTCTCTCTGTGTTCCTGGAGCAGCAGTTCCCTGACTTTTAGACTTTATTTTTTAAAAATTTAAAAAAAAAAATCTGAGGTTCTCATGAAGTTTCTAACTTTCAATGGTCAGGTAAGACTGCTTTGAGCCACTGGCACCTTCATTCCAGAAAACAGGGGCTAATTTGAAGGGAAAAAAAATCCTTTCAGCTGAATACATTTAGCAAGAAACTAACCTGATTTTTCTTTTTCTGCTCAGGCCACCAAGAACCCTGTCAAGAAGGGACATGCAGGGCAGTGCCCCTGGGAATGCTTGTCTTGGCCCTGCCCCCTGCTGCTGGCCCCACCCCCCCCCCGCTGTACCCCAACTTCCCATCAGGAATGACCCCTTTTCTCTCACCCCACCATCTTCCCTTTAAGCTCTGCAGAAGCCTGTAGTCTGCAGAATGTCCTAGACCTACTGCTGGGGAGCTTCCCTGTCCCCAGGCAGGGGCTTCCTCCCTGCTGTGGAGGGATGCCCACCCCCCAGGTCTGTTCATTAATCAGCAACTTTCATTTTGTCCCTGCTCTGTCCCCCATGTCCCTCAGCAGGCTCTTATTATTGACTGACTGACCCTCTTCCCTTAAAAGTGAGGGAAATTAGCCCTAAGTTTCCTCTAACTTGCCGAAGAACTAGATCCTTCCAATCTAGTCACTGTCCAGAGGAGATTCCTTGCAACTGATGTAATAGGCCAATTTATTTTAGAGTCTGAATAAATACCCAGCCACTTTGGCAGCCGAGGAGACTGCCCACCGTGACGTCAGAGGGCCCAGCACACGACGGCGTGACAGCGGCGCTCTGTCCTCGACGTGAAGGAGGCAGTGTTTTGAGTGATTCGTTTTCCTGGCCTAAAATGCTCTCTGCCCTCCTCCAAATCCTGCGGGTCTTTCAAACCTTAATTCAGGCTCCACTCTCTCTGCGGACTCCTTGGGCCTCCTCCAGCCCTCTGGGATCTCTTCTGCCTCAGAATCCAGCGCCGCTTCCAGTCCTTCACATTAGCATTTAATTATGAGGCTGTCTTGCCTGTTCACAGGCTGCATGTGGGTTATTCTCCTAAGTGGATCGAGGTGGGCAGGGCCAGTGTCTTCATGTCTCTTTTCTGGGTCCTGCCCAAGGGGACCAGGTGTAGCACGGCACTCTCAGCGGAGCTGCCAAGTCCTGGGTGAGTGACTCCCTCCGTCTACAGTGGGTCTCTAAGGCAACTCATTTGTGACCAGAGCAGGAATGCGCAGAGGAGCGGGCTGGTGGGGCTTGTCAGTAGCCGGGGCAGGGACTTGACCTCACTGGAACAGTGGGGCCAGCTGCCCCCCTCTCACAGAACTCCAGGTGGAGAGTTCAAGGAGAGGAAAGAGTGGGCAAGGGCAGTACTTGCAATGTGTTGTACCCCTTCCCAAAGAGCTGCAGTGGGTGCGGGATGCAGGCGCCACGGAAGGAGTCCAAACACTAAGGGGCTCAGAGGGACGAGCATCCCCTCAGGAGAGGCCAGGGCTGCAGTTCAGAGATGGGCAGGGGAGGGGAGGAACCGGAAGAGCAGAGGTCAGCCAGATGGCTCGGCTGTGGCCCCAGCCTCCACCAAGCGAGAAGGCTGGACATGGGTGAGCTTCACTCCTGGAAGCGAGGTCTGGGTCATGGCCATGGCCTGCAGCATCTTGCGACTGCTGACTCTTAGCCCTGCTGGAGCTGCTGGGTGGGATTCCATTCAAATGGCCTCCCTGAAGTCGACCCTGTGGTTGGAAGGTCGTGAGACCTTTACTCCTCGCAGAGGCCACACAGGCAGACTGGGCCTTGCAGGCACGGTGGCTGAGTGGCTCGCTCTATTTGCTTCAGTTTAGAGGAACTGATCATTCAATCTTTGCAGCACTAGCCTGGGGCAGTTGTGTGCTGATGAAGGGGCATTTTCAATCTCCAAGGTCAGGCCAGTCGGCCTCCACTAGGCAAATCCAGGGCTGCTGGTCGATCACCCTGGGAAGCCACATTGCTTTTTCTCTCAAGAACAAAAGAGGTCACTGAGGCTGTCACCACTATGTGCCATCCTGTACAAGATCTTGGTGTCATTGCTGCTGTGTGCACCCTACAGAGGATGCTGGAGTCATCGTGCTGGGTGCATCCTACACAGGCTGTTGGGGCCTTGACATGTGGCACCTTGCAGGGGATTGGGGGATGGTCACTACTTGCATGATATTGTGGCCACTCAAGATCTGGAAATGGACCAAGCAAGGAGAATAATAAACGCAGACACCCCATATGATGACCTTCAAGTCTGGATAGAAGAAGCTGAGTCCCTTTGGCTCCGCTTTCTCCCCCTGAGAGTTGAATGGCTCCAAGGCCCAGGCATCCTGTGCTCTGCTCAGGCCACAGCATGAGCCCTGGGTGGAGAGCTGCCATTGCTGGTGCTGCCCCAAAGCTGTGCTCACTGTAGTGATGGGCTTGGCAGGTGGCTGACCTTGACCTTGAAGTCTGTGCAGACATTCAACAGCTCCAACCAAACACAGAACAGAAGGGAAAGCTCAAGACTTTTCATTAATCTAGACAAAAAACAGAGCTTGGGAGGCCATTCCCTCCAGGTGAGACTGGAGGAGCGGGCAGCACTGGGAACTGGAGGCTTCTGAGCAGAGACCCCCAGTGGGTCAGCACTTGCAACTTTCAAAGATCCGTTGGCTCCCTGGGAGCCTCTCCCTCTCCTCACACCGCCTTCCTCCCCAGCCTCTCCCACCACCCACGGGGAGGAAGGAGAGCACCCGACTTTGGCTGGCATTTTGGGACCTGTGCAAACCACTCTTCTCCTTCCACCCAGGGCCAAGTTTCTTGTGAGGAAGTGAGTCTCCTGCTGCTGTTCTGCTCTTAGTCGCCCTGGGCCAGCCCCTCAGGAAAAGTGCACACCTGCCCCAGCACACCGCAAAGACTCAGTTGTCGTGTTGTCCTGCACGGAACCAGTACAGCTGGCTGCTCAGCCACCGCGCACACAGAGCCATGCCGCCCACGTGGCCTCCCTGAGGAAGAGACGCCCGTCTCTACCCACTGTTTTCTCTCCCGCTTGGAAGCCAGGCAGGGGACAGGCCGCTCTTCTTGGAGATGCCATTAAAGCTGCAGTGGCCAGGACAGAGGGGAGAGGGCTCCGACGGCGATGGGAGGCCAGCTTTGAAGGCACTGGAAAGGACCAAGCTGTGCTAGCAAGATGGCAAACAGAGAAAGGGACAGATGAGGGAGAGAGGGAAAGGAATCTCCACGGCCATTGGGCTTCTGTGAAATGCAGGGGGCCAGGGAGCTGCAGGGATCGGCTTCTCCACTGGCAGGGCCTCTCCATGGAGGAACAGCGGGGAACAGACTCACGGGCTCTGGTCAGGGCCAGGGAGACCAGCACCTCATGGACACGAGGCAGCGTGGAGCTGTGGCTGGAATCCAGCAGGGAACGGGAGCGGGGGTATGGGAACCAAGGCCGGGCAGAGCCTCCAGAAGGGAGAGTCTGGAGAGCACTCATGATCAACAATAAGCCAGAGGAGTGCCCGGGGTCAGGGGCGACCCAGGGACCCCTGTCAGCAGCCAGGTCCTGGGAGGCCCTCCTCACCCAGAACCCAGAGAGCCTGTGGGGCAGAGGAAGAAGCTGCTAGTGCAGCCCCACCGCTGGGTTAGATGCGAGGCAAAGAGAGGCACGGAAATCAGGTCAAAGTCATGGGGGATACCACGGCCCTGCCTCCCCAGAGTAGTGTCCCCCACCCTGGGACCAGGACGAGGGCCCTCTGTCTGTCCTCATCATAAGCAGTGCCCCCTCTCGCCCTCTGTTCAACCTGCTGTGTTGCCAGATGCAGCTGCTGACGACTTCGGCTTAGAGGACTCCCAGAGAGCGACTTTGCTCTCAAAGTCGTGTCTCTTTAAGTACTAAGTGGGGAATAAAATAAAAAGCTGCATAAAAGAAATCCCAAAGACAAAAAAAAAAAAATCCTCTGGTGAGCTGCATTCAAATCACCTGCTTAGGAAAGAAAGAAATGTTAACTGCTAAGGTTAAAGAATGAGCTACAGACAGCTCCGGATTTTTAACCCCAATTTCCCATTCCTGTCGCAGATTATGACATCTCTACAGGTTTCAGACATGGATTCCCCCATCTGAAGCAGCCACACAAGTGTGTCCTGGCCATTGGGCCAGGAGGACCATTGCAAATGGACGGAGGCCCAGGCCAGCCCTGTGCCTTCTACTGTCACTCCTCAGCATCATCAATCGCTATGCAACTCACGGCATTCAAGGAGAAAAATTTCCCTGGGGTAATGGGGAGACAAACTTCTCCTCAACTGTCTCCTCCGGGATGGAATGTGTGATGGAGAGCTGGTCCAACATCGTAAGAGAAATATCTTATGTGACGACTTTTAAAGTCAGAACTAAGACTCTGTTTTTCAGCACATGGCTCTCTGCACGGGGAAGGATGAAGGGTGGGATGAGATGGTGGCATTGCTAAAGTAAATCCCCACAGGACAGGGTGTCTCCCGACTCTGCAAGGGTGATCTAAAGACTGTTTCCCAGGCAGCCTTTCGGGAGGGAGTAAGGACCCTCCAGCATCGTGCCGAACCCCCGGGGAATCTGATTTTGACTCATAACCAACCTTACTGCTCGGCATTGCAGGTAATAGGAAATGGACTCAAGGCCAGTGCGCTGAAGGAAAGCACCCCCAACTCGCCTGGGCTCAGATTGGGCACTGTTTTCACATCCTCTGGATCACACTGAATCTATTCTCGGTCATCACTCGAAGGCCTGACACATTTGACAAGCAGTCGACTCGGGTAAGTGCTGCAGGGTGTCAGCTGTGAAAGTGACCATGGTTGAAGGCCTTTGGTGCAGGGACGCAGAGCAAGTGAGCAGCAGGCTTTCCACGGTTCAGACTGTGCCTGGTGCATTCTGGCGGATCACAAGTGACGCGGTTGTCACAGGTGGGCTCGTGGGCAGTGCAGTAGGTGTCTCACTGCCTGTGTGTGGGCAAAATCAAGTAATTCCGTTGGAAGAGGAAAACAATGACTACACACACACACACACACACACACACACACACACACACACTGCTCTCTGCAGAACTCTCTTATCGTTCATTTCTGTTAACGACCGACTACCCTTTGCCCGCAGCAGCAGAAGAATCGCAGCAGCCAAACAGGAGCAGTTACTCTTTCTTTCTGCCATTGACCATCAAAGCCCGCCTCTGGGCTCAGCCTAGCAGGGCCGCTCACTCCTGCTGCTTCCACACCGCTGAGACCATCTTTGAGGAAGGGATGCAGAGGAAGCTCTTTATCGCTGTTTGATGAGCGTCACTCCCTCCAAATGTCCCAAGGGTCACACTAGAGAGAGGGTGTCACTGCACCGTGGTTGAGAAGGAGCTTCCCAGACAGCCCCCTGCTGAGCTGGCTCTGCAGCAGCAGTTTCCCTCTCCAGTCTGGAGCAGCAGGCGGAGGCCGAGCATCTCATGCCGGCAGCTTGGGGACCCAACAGGCAGAGCTCCTGAGGTGCTGAAGACACCGCCTCTCCCTCACCCGTCAGTCTCTCAGCCCAGCTGAGCGTCTTGGTGACAGTTCTCCCTCTTTGGCATTGATGGCCCTGCCATGCCAGCTGTGAGGGCTTCGAAGCTGAGGAGGCCCAAACACTCCCAAGTCCCAAGTCCCTCACCCTCCAGAGGCAGGCTCTTGCCCAGGAGGACCTCTCACTCAGGTTGTCTCTGAGGGACATGGGGAGCCATGCACGACCCTAGGTGCACAGCAGCATGGGGGTCCCAGATGCTTTTTGAACCATCAGGTATTTCAAACACACATTCAGTATAGAATAATGTGACACTCATGGCAACACCTGTGAGATTTGCTGATTCTAAACACTTTGACATATTTGCTTCAAAGCCTTCACTTTAGTGTGTCTCAATAGATGAATGGATAAAGAAAATATAGTATATATACTCAATGGAATATTGCTCAGCTTTAAAGAACAGTGAAATTATGGCATTTTACAATAAATGGTTGGAGTTGGAGAATATTGCCACTCGCCATCAAAGCCCAGCCTCTTGGCTCAACCTAAGTGAAATAAGCAATCCCACCAAACCAAAGTCCTAATGTTTTCTCTAATATGCGGATGCTAATTCACAATAAGGAGGGGGGCACTAGGGAAGAATGGTGTTACCTTAGATTAGGTAGAGGGAAGTGATGGGAGGGGAGGGGAGGTGATGTGGGATAGGAAAGACAGTAGAATGAGACAGACATCATTACTGTAGGTATATATGTGACTGCATGACCAATGTGACTCTGCAACATGTGCACTCAGAAAAATGAGAAATTATATCCCATCTATGTATGATGTATCACAGTGCATAAGTGCATTCTACTGTCATGTATAACTAATTAAAACAAAAAAGACACATAACTCCCCTCGCAGACATGAGGAGCTGCCCGGGGTCTGTCCCTACAGGGGGACTACTGATTCTAAGGGGTGCTTCCCTGGGCATCGGCCAGGTATTGCCAAACTGGGCCAAAGGGTCTGCATCGAGTGGCCTTTCCACTCAGGGCCACCAGAATGTTCATTTTCTCTTTGTTCTTTGTTATTTCTGAATGCTTTGGTAACCCCTTTGTTGAGAAATAATTCATGAGTCTTAGGTCAGCCACTCGGAGCACAGCCCAGCAGCGGTGTCTGCAGAGTCGGGCTCCCACCACCACATTTTCAACTATTTCATTAGCCAAAAAAAAAACCAAACCCATACTTTTTGGCCACCACCCCCCAAGTCCCCTCATTGCCCCACCCCTGGGCAAGCACTAATGTGTTTTCTCTCCCTCTAAATTTGCCTCTTCTGGACTTTTGTAGACACGGAGTTTCCATGATGTGACGTATCTTTGTGTCTGGCTTCTCTCACTTGGTGTAATGTTTGTTTCAAGGTCCATCCGTGCTGCAGCGAGACATGAGCCTCGTCACTCAGACATCTTACATGCACATGCCAGGGGCACCGAGCTCGTCCACAGTGCTGAACGGCCCCCACGGCCATCCTCTGCCACATCTTTCTCAAGTTCCCAAGCTGCCATTCTGTCCACGTTGAAAGATAACTGCCCTCTGCCCCCCCCCCCCAGCCTCCTCTCTCTGCCTCTCTTTGCCTTCTGTCCCCGTGACTTGGACTTGCACAGTGAAGACGTGAATCGTGCAGTATTTGTCCTGTGGCCAGCTGACTCCACTTAGCAACATCCTCCACGTCCAACCAGGAAGCAGGGGCCAGAAGGTCCCTCCTTGGTAGGACTGAATCCTACTCCCCTGTATGGGGGGGCCACATTTTGCTTATCCATTTATCTCCATGGACACCTGGGTTATTTCTGCTTTCTGGCTCTTGAGAAGGCTGCTGCCGTGAATGTTGGTGAAATCATCTCTCCGTGTCCCTGCTCCCCGCTCCATCGGGCACACACCCAGACAGGGAATCCCTGGATCAGGAGGGAACTCTGTGTTTAATGTTTTCTAGTTTTCATCAGTGCATTGCAGTTAGACATAGAGTGGGGTTCATTTGGTCATAATTTCACCTCTGTGAAAAAAATTGCTCCATTTCAGTCCCTAATATCTCCTCTTTCCCTCCCCTCTCCCTCTGCTCATCTGGCCTTCCTTCTACTTAGTGGTTGCTTTGTAGCCGGTGCTCTCTGTGGAATCCACTGTGGTGCGTTCATCATCCACAGTGTAATGTGGCCGACTTCTTTCTGAGTTATTCCCTTTTCCTGTTCCTCCTGCTGTCTCCCTCAGCCCACCTCCTCTCCTCCACTGACCTCCTTTCTATTGTCATGGGATCCTCCCTTGTTTTGCTCTAGTTTCCACCTTAGAGAGAAAATATTCCACCCTCGGCTTTCTGAATCTGGCTTGTCTCACTCGGCATGATGTTCTCCAGCTCCATCCACTGATCAGCAAGTGCCACCATTGCATTCTTCTTTATGGCTGAGTGAAACTCCATTTTGTGTGTGTGCGTGTGTCTATGTGAGCGTGTGCACGTGTGCCACGTGTGATTTACGTTTTCTTTATTCACCTGGTGACAGGTGGCACCTGGGCTGGTTCCCTAACTCGGCTACAGTGAATTGTGCTGCAGTCAACACCCATGTGCCTCTGTCACCACAACACGCTGATTTTAGCTCAGCTAAATGCTGAGGCGTGTGACAGCTGGGTCATGTGGCGGTTCCATCCCCAATCCTTTGAGGAATCCCCACACTGCTCTCCAAGGTGGTTTTACTAGTTTGCATCCCGCTGACACTGTGTGAGTGAGCCTCTCCCCCACGTGCTCCCCAGTGTTGGTCGTTATTTGTATTCCTGATGATTGCCAGGCTGATTGGAGTGAGACGAAATCTCACTGTAGTTTTGATTTGCATTTCCCTGATTGCTACAGATGTTGAACACTTTTTTATATTCTTGTTGGCCATTTGTATTTCTTCTTTTGAGAAATGTCCATTTAGTTCTTTTGCCCATTTATAAATTGGGTTATTCTGGTTTTTTCTGATTGGTTGTTTGTTTGTTTTGTTTTTGTTCTTTATATATCCTGGATATTAACCCCCTATTGGAGGAGTGGCTGGAAAAGATCATCACCCATTCTGTAGACCCCCTCTTCAAGTTTTTTTTTTTTTTGAGCGGGGGTTACCAGGGGTTGAACTTGGGGGCACTTGGCCACTGATCCACATCCCCAGCCCTAGTTTGTATTTTATTTAGACACAGGGTCTCACTGAGTTGCTTAGTGCCTCACTTTTGCTGAGGCTGGCTTTGAACTTGCCATCCTCTTGCATCAGCCTCCAGAGCCGCTGAAATTACAGGTATGTGCCACCGCACCTGGCTTCAAATTCTTAATCATTTCCTTTGCCACGCAGAAGCTGTTGGGAAATGCCATACTATTTTGTTAGATTCTATTCTTAGCTCTTGTTTTTGATTGGTTATATTTGTTGTAAATATCTTCCCCCATTATATGGTTCTCTTTACTGTAGGCAAATTTTCATTTTAATATCAAACTTGTGCATCTTGCCTTGACGGCTATTGCTTGTTATATGTTGTTCAAAGGTTTTCTTAGCCCAATGTTGGGCCAGTAATGGAAGAAGTCTCCTATATCGCCACTTTTCCATATAGTTCTTTCATCTTTCTAAATTGACCTCCAGGGATTTTGTTAAATAAGATCTGATTTAACTTTTCACTCACATAAATAATCACATGGTCCATGGCAAACTGGATTTCTCCTACTGATTCACAATCCTACCTCTGTCTGAGGCCAGCTTCTCAAACGGGTCATTTTCTGGGTTTCCTGGTCCATTTGGTTGACCCACGTTGTACTCTTGACCCAGTGCTGTGCTGAGTCACATCAGCTCTTTAGTGAGCCTTTGCCAAGAGAATCCCGTATCACACTCTTTTCCTTTAAACCGTCCCACGTTGGGCCCTTCACTTCTGCCTGTGAGTTTCAAGGTTATCTGTCCAAATTCCTGGAATTGTTCTGACTCTGGAGATTGAAATAAGGGGGTGCAGGAGGCTTTGGAACAGTGAACCTTCCTGTCTGGGACACCGCGGCCCCACTCCAGCTGCTTCCCTTTGTGAGTGACATGTGACCACGCAGGGCACAGCTGGAGGAGCCAGGCCAGGAGCCCCTTGTGTGACGCTCCTCCCACTAACTTCAGGAGGGTCCCTCCCTCCACCCCAGAGACAGAGCTCTGCGTCCCCTGGTCCCCTGGGTCCCCAGGACGCGCAGCCATGGAGCGCTCAGTCACTCAGTCAGCATCTGAGGGCCAACAGCCTTTGGCTCCCCTTGGGGCCGTTCCTCCCCAGGAGTCTTGATAGGATGTAGCCGAGAGGGCCGACGGAAGACCCAGAGCCATCCTTTGAGAATTAAAATGTGGCCGGCCATGAGGGGCAGAAGCAGCAGTGGGGAAGGAAGAGAAAGTGGCCTGGGGACTGGAAGGGTCACATCGCTGGACATCGGGGTCAGAGGCTGCACAGCTGAGAGCTGCGCTGACTGATCTGACCAACCCACAGGGCCCCGAGGCAGAGAAACCAGAATGCTAACATAGTGATTTATTGCCCAAACGAAACCTGACCACCAGGTCAATCAGTGGCTATTTCCTGTGGCCAGACGTTTGCTCCTTGTAGGTGCGTTGCCTGGGAAGCCCCGCTGTGACCGGAAGCTCCTGAAGGTCAGACTGAGAGCAGGAGGAAGGCTATGAACTGATGTGTCCTGATCCAGGGGACCCATGTCTCACAGGATGGACACACCCTGACTCCGTCCCTGCTGCCCCAGGATGGTCCATCCCCCTCCTTAGAGACACACCCTGTCTCGGGACATGCCCCTGCGGTAAACCCGCAGTCAACGCCAGTTCAGAGACAGGCAGGGGCTTTGGCTCCCTAATTTGAACTATAATCTTACCCTTGACACAGTTGGGTCCGATTTCCTGGGGACAGGAAGAAGGGTCACTTGGCCAGCAGAGAGACTGAGGCTCCCAGAGGTTAAGGGGCTCTGTTACCCAAGGCTCTCCAGGTGGCGATTGCCTGGCCTGGGTTGCAGCCCGGGCTTTAGACTCTCTGGGCCAGGGAGAAACGTCTGAGGATATCAAGCCCCAAAGGTTAAGAGGCTAAATTTGGAGCCTAACCACATCGACCTCGGAGGTGGAGAAACCTGAAAGTGAGACCCTGACTTCTGCTCTCAGAACTTCCGCAGTACCTGCTCCAAAGTGCTGCAGCCATCTCACCCATGATGGCAGGTCCCCCCGGCCAGCTGGGCCCAAGCACATAGCGAGGCACAGGACACAAACCCGAGTTTCCCCTCAAGCCGCCTTTCATTGCACACAGGGTCTCCCCAGGGAGACCCCAGAGTCCCCCTGACTCTTCCTCCATGACCTGTCCCCTCTTCTCCTGTCCGCCTGCCTGTGGATCTCTGTTCCCTTCCTGCCCTCCTCCTGGACCTGCTCCATAGTCTTTGGGGTGCAGGTGGCCCTTATTTCTGGCCACCTCCACAGCAGGGGGGATCCTCCGTGTGCATGCTGGGCCAGAGCACCTTTCCCTTACCCTGACCAGACCCTCATCCCCAGCATGTGTCTCAGCTAGCAAAGCCACTGTGCTTCCCTGGTGTGACCAAAGATGCCTCCCTGCCAGGCCGTCAGAGCAGAAGGAGAACTCCATCTGGATCTGGCCACCTTCGACAGTTATGTATGAGGGCCTGTGGGACAGATATGTCACCCTGAACTGGAAAAGAATTGGGACACTTCGGTGTAGTCCCAGCTCTGCCACCAACTCAGTGGTCAGCCTGGAAACTGTCAGCCTACCTTCTGCTGGCCTCAGTTTCCCCATCTGTAAGATGAGGGGGTTTGGATGGAGGCCGAGCTCCCTTCACCTCCGAGAGCTGATAGGCCCCTGCGCAGGAGCATTTGTGAGCGTTGTCAGTAGATTATTAAAGAGCTTATTTAAACATATACAAAGAGCCATCTTCCAGTGGGATGAGGTTCTCTTATTAATAACTATGACAATATTGCACCAGGGCTCTGGGGGGTCGGTGGATGTCACCCCATGTGGCTCCTAACATGACTGCCCTCAGGGTAGAATATCTCAGCAGAAAGCGGAAAGGAGGGAGTCCCAGGTCAGACTTTCCAACACTTTGTTGGGAGCTGTTTTACGTCTTGACTTTGTGGTAAGAAAAAATGTCTGCGTGTAGAATGTCCAGACGGGTCCTCCATTCCCACGGGGACATCACCAGCAGGAGGGATGTTGACCACGTAAGGCAACACGGTCCTGCTCCCGTGGGCTTCTGTTCAGGAGGCAGATTCAGAGTGTGTCAGTCCATTCAGCTTCTAAATTGTCAGGGTCTCCTTCTCCTCTGGCCTCCTCTGGCCTCCTGTTTCTTTAAGGCAGGGCTTTGGATGTGGTGGACCCCAAGGCTTCTTGTGCAGGAAGCTCTGGCCCCAGTGGGCAGTGTTGAGAGGGGCCGGTGGAGGTGCCTGGGTCACTGGGGCACCTCCTAGAAAGGGCCTGATGCTCACCCCATGGAAGTGGGCCGTGTCTCGCCCCCGGGAGTGGGTCGGGTCTCACAGGGCTGAGTTGGTTACCAAAAGAACATGGCTTGCTCTCCTCCTTCCCCTCTCAACACGATTCCCCTTCTGCTCACACTCAGGCCTCTCACGCATGCTCCTGCATTGTGATGCCATTCACCTTGTTTTGAGTTATCCAGAAGTTCCTCAGCAAAGGCTGAACTGATGGGCCTACCCAATCTTGGACTTTCAGCCTCCCAAAGAGTCAGCCAAACAAACCTCTTTTCTTTACAAAGAACCCAGCCTTGGGGGTGTTATTATAGTAATACCAAACAGACTAAGATAGTTCTGTTGACATTGGAGACTTACATATGTGCTTCAGGAGCCCATGACCCTGCCCCCCCCCCACCAAAATGACCTCTTATGTAGGGGAGGAAAATTTCCAAACAAGATCTATACATGAGCAAACCACTTCGCAGGGAGAAAAAAAAAAAGAAAGAAATCTTGATTCTGGCATCAGAGAGACCTGAGCGCAAATCAATTTGCTAGCCTATCTCTACTTTTGGACAAGTTACATAAACGGCACTCTTCTCTGCTGCCTCATCTCTGTAAAATGTGGGGGATAATCATTTGCCTACTTCGTGGGTCACCATGAGAATGGAGTAATTAAATGTCTGTAAATCTCACCATGTGGTTGGTACTCAGTGGCTGGTAGATTTTATGTGTCCCCTCAATGTCAAGGAAAAACAGAGCTGTCCCCAGGAGAAGCTGACCCCACTCTGCTGTGCTACCCAACGAAGCACAAGCCAGCAAACTAAGCCTCTTTGAGCCCGAGGAGTCTGGGCTTGCACAGTGCACTTCTCGTCGGGATGGTTTCGTGCGATCCACTGGCACTGACCAAGAAGCTCCACGTAAAACGTCCCACCAAGGTGCAACACCCCCCTCGTGCAGGCCTTGGGAAAACCAGGCCAGGCCCCCCTGACTCTTCTCCTGGAGCTGTTGTCCCACCACCTTTGCCAACAAAGCCACTTCCTTGTCCTCGAGGCACCTCAGGATCCACTTCTCCTCCCTTTTGACTTTCATTTCTCATACCTTGTCTTGAGCCACATCCTCTGTGCTAGAAACAGCGCCCACTTCCTGTTGGCCCAGCACCTCCTGAGCACTTCCCCTCCACGCTGAGCTCTACCAGGAGTTTCGACACCGCATCTCTGGGGAGGTTTCTAAAGCAAGCTTTCCACCCTGGTTGGGAAACTGGCAAGTCGCTAGGTTCCCTATGAAGCGTGCAAGAGACCCAGGCCTGGCCGGGGCCCTTGTCCAGGGTGGGAGAGCACATGCCTGCCAGTTCCATCTATCCCTAAGCTAGGAGAAGACTCCCCAGGCGGGTTCCTGAAAACTGGCACCTGGCTTTCTGGTTTGGCTGGGATGACAGGTACCGGTCAGTGTACTGACCAGCTTCAGCACCTCCACCCGAGGTCCGGCTCAGGGTGTGGTCTTCAGTCCTTGTCCTCCATGGGCCTCAATCTGATAGGAGTCCAGATACAGTCTATATCCAAATAACAATTTCAAGGTGGCATCAGATGCTTCCAGTTCCCATGCACTTGAAAAGTCCTACAGCACTGGGTTCATATGAGATCCTTATCATCACACGAAGACAACATGGAGTATCCACCTGGTGTCAGTGCAAAACCTGCATTGCTCTTTGTCCATGCAACATGGACATTTTCACTTCCAGTTTGCAGACGTGGAGGGTGAGGCCGAGAGGCCAGTGGCTTCCCTCCCCAGTCCTGGTGGGGCCAAGGCTGGCACAGCAGCCGCCACTGCACAGCCTCTCCCTCGTCTGTCGTTTGTCAGAATGGACAACAAGAGGCCCTCCAAGGCCAGAGGTGTCATCAGGTAGTGCACTGAGACGATGATGCTGCAGTTGTTGGCTTCCCCTCTCTGTCACCAGAGAGTCACTCTTCAGGGATGTGGCCAGGTCTAAATCCTTGGAAAGAGCCAAAGTCAGGGAGACTGGCCTCAGACTGTCAATGGAGCCTGCCCCTCAGGACAAAGAAGTCCATGCCCAGAAACCAAGTTTAACAGTAGTGGCAGCACCACGGTCCCTGGCCCCTTCCACAGGCAGCTAGACACCCCCCAGGCATTGGGTTCCCATGGGGGTGCCTGCTGGATCACCCACAGAAGACCCCAAATGCAGCTCTTCCCACAGTGGTTCTGTTGCAAGACGTTCTGCAGAGCCAGAGCCCACACTCCAGACCGGAAGTGCTCCTTGGAGCCCAGTCAGCTGGATGAACCCATGGGTTTGGCCCCTGGCCATGCACAGGGTAGCCAAAGCCTTTGATCCCCAACCTCTCTCCCACCAGGTGACACCCTGGGAAACAGCCCCAACCAGTCCTCTTGAGGAAGGGAGACAGGTCAGACGGATGGACCTCCTGAGCCCTGAGGCCAGGCCAGGGCGCCCAGCTGCTGCCGGTGAGGGGTGCCCCGAGTGCCCATCCACTGGGCAAAGCAAAGCCAGGTCCTTCACCGTATGCCTTGAGAGGGCACTGCCACAGGAAGAACAGGAGAGGTGGCACATAAAGGCTCTACGGTGTACAGTATACAGGCGACGATGTGGGTAAAGCCTTCGGCACAGAGTAAGTCCTCAATGAGGAAGAGCTGGCAAGGTCATCCATTTGTTAAGTTCCCAAAACTAGAGTGATCTACAGCCGGAAAAATCCCAGAATAGGATTCCTCATGGCAGCCAGGAACGAGTTGTGTGTTGTGTGTCCCCAAATCAAACAAAGAGCACCTTCCCCTTCCACAGCTCTTGCACATACAAAATTACTGAGGCTCTGAGGGCCCCTGAAGTCTTGCATGGGGGCCTTGAAACCTGAATTATTTGTGTTTCTTAAGGGGAGTGACCATGCTCAGTTCTCCTTTTATTTCCAGAGCCCAGTACCCACAGGCCGGGGCAAGTCTGGGGAGGGCACAGGTGCCTACACGTTGTTAAAAGGCAGACGACTTCTAGTGGTTTCTCACCCTCACACCCTCCCAGCAGATTTCTTCAAATGATGATTGTCTCCGTGGCAACAGTGGAAGTCCTGCACACCTGAAACCCCATCCTACCCCCAGCCAGCGCCCAGGACAGTCCCCGCTGCACTGGGCCCTCCAGATCCCTGAACAAAGGTTATTTTGAAATGGCTCACAGCGCTGGAGGGTGAGTACTTTGTTCCTGAAACCAGGTGGTGAGATGACAATACTTCCCCTTAACCGTTGGGGCTTTATCAAACCAGGAATCACAGGTCTGGTGTGCATTAGAATAATCAGGTGGATTGCAAGAAAAGAGTGCTACCCAGACCCCAACCTAGGAGCAATCGCTGCAGAAACTTGAGCCAAAGAAGTCCTGCTGGCTGCGGTGGCGGCCATTGTTGAGCACAGCTCTGCAAGAGGGGCCTCTGAGAAAGAAGCCACTTCTTGTCAGGCCTTTAAAAAAATACTTCCCTAAAATTGGCATAGCTCAAAGTCACCTGCTAGCTGTTGGGACAGTGCTAAAGCCTTTTTCCAGATCCAAAAATGTTGTTTCAAGTACATTGAAGCAGGAAAAACCAATACGGAAAAACTGTAAACTATCTCTACCTACGAGGAGGGGGTGGGGGACACCAAGCTTTTCCAACCTGCTCAGTGCCTGCCAGGCAAGTGACAATGCTGGGGATGGAAATCAAAAGAGAACGACACAACGCCCTTTTCATTTAACTTCAAGGGCAAGTTCTTTGGTTTGCAGCATTTCCAACCCCTCACTGAGGACTCTTCCCCGGGGAACAGAGGAGGTATTTCCAGTCTGTCTTTAAAGAGCCCACAGAACAGCTCTAGAAGTCGGCTAGCCTTTTTGCAAGGTGAGAATTCTGGCTGCATTATTTATCTCAGGGAGAAAAGAGAATGACAAGAAGCGAGACTAACACCAGCAACAAACCGAATCAGCATCGTCAACACCAAGGAACAGATCTGCTCTGCGTTCATCCACTCAGCGGTTTATCAAGCACTGTGGGGGCTACCGAGAGGTTAAAATGGATGATTCCGGGTCTGTGTCCCTGAGGAGCTGACATGGGAAAGACAGACACTGACCAGTTACAGCGCCTTGGACTCACTCTGGCCAGGGGTAGGAACAGGCTAGAGGGGAGCAGCTACCCCGCTTGTAGGTTCAAGGCTGGGGGTATTCACCAGACGGAGAAGGACAGAGACAGGATTAGGAGGGATGCCTCTGGGCGCCCAGAAACCTGAACTCCAGCCCCAGCCTATGGCGCCTCTGACTTCCGGGTGCCTATCAGAATGCCTGCCACCTGCCACCACAAAGCAGGACAAAGGCTAATGAGAAGATGAGGCAAGCCGTTCTTAGAATTTTTAAGAAAGATGCTGAAGTCAATACAATTGAGGGCTATTTTGTATTAGCTCAGCTTTGGATCTATCTGACACCATTTCTGTTACTGATTAAAATCAACCACTATTTAAAAAGTACCTCTTTCCTTAAAGATCTCCAAAGAGATTTCTCTGTTTTAATCAATTAAGGAGTACTTACTGAGCACCTCCCATATGCCATATCCTGTTTGACATCTATAAATAAATCTTAAAAAGTGCAACTAAGCAAGAGTCTATCAGTGGCATCCATCTTCCGGCTTCCCTTCCATTTCTATGGGTTTGGCACTCAATAAGTGAGTGCAATTTTTTCTTCAGGAAAAGATTTAGCCAATCATGCTTCTCTGGGTTTTTATTTTCTGTGTAAAGAAACGAAGTTGCATAGAAATCTGGACAACAGTGTTTGGCAAGAGCAGAACGTACTAGTTGTGAGGGCTGCTGTCCCCAGCAAGTGGACTTGCAGGCTAACATAGAAAATCCCACACCTGTGGTGCCTCCATCAGTGACACAGAGAGAGAGAGTGACACAGAGCCCACAGTCCACCAGGGGCCACCCAGCCACTGTCATCCAGCAGGACGTGAACTGAACCTGCACGTGAGACTCCTTCCAACCTCGAGCCCTGCAGAGCTTCCTGGTGGGACTCGCCCGGGACTCTGCTCTTCAGGGCCCCAGGACAACGCGCCAACTCCATCCTTCCTCCCATCTTCTCTGAGTTGGGTCTGGGCACTCTTTTTCTTTAAGGGAACAAAGGGGAAAGAATGCCAAGATTACTGGTGCATTCAATGATTGAGAAATGTTTGCCATTTAAAGCTGTTTCACTTCCTGCCTGATACCACAAAGAAGCTTTTTAATTAAGTTAACCTTTACTTTCCTTAATGCCACTATGCGTCTGGCTCATTTTGCCCATTTTTCGTTTTCAAAACTGGGTTATGATAATGAAACACTTGGTTTCTATTGCTTACGACTACCAAGTTCCAAGTCTGTCGATTTAGGAGAAAAGTCAGGGGCAGCGGAGGAGGAGGACAGAGGAGAGGTGGAGCACGTGGGGATGGCTGGGCAGGAGGACAGGGATGGCCGGAGCAGGTCAGGTCTCCAGCCTGCTCGGAAGGCACCTGGCTGCACAAGCTGATCTGTTCCTGCGAGCCCTCAGGCTTTGGAAGGACAATGAGCCGTGGGTGATTCCCAGAGCCAGGACAGCCTCATTGGCACCCTTGCTCACTGGGCCCGAGGGTTGGCAGTGTGACTTACCCCAGCCATAGCCCAAAGCAGAAACACCACAAATTCCTTTGAGGTCCCCAGGACAGTTCCCAAGCAGGTAGAATCCTGCAAGAGTCCTGTTAATAGGACACAGCAATCATGAGGACCAGCGCTGCCCTCACCAAACTATACTCTTACCACTAAAACCAAGTCTCCCTGTGACTCACAGAATGTCTAGCTTAAAATCACCACAGCCATGGCTTCTTACACGCCCACCCTGTGCCAGGCAGGCCGAATTTTGTATACACTGGTCACTTAATCTGCTCAGCATCTTGCAGACAGACACTGCTGTCTCTCTTTACAGATGAGGAAACAGAGACACAAAGAGGCTGAGTGACTGGATCTGGGTCAACTCCTAATGTAGCCACACCCAAGGGCTGAGAATGCGGGTTCAAGTTCTTGATCACCACACACACTGCTCCAGAGCTCTCTGGTCGACCCTGCACCCTCTGTTTAAGAAAGACCTGCTCCTGGCGGAGTGGCTGTTTGTATTCATTCAGTAGGTATATGTTAAGGGTCTGCTCTGCAGTTCCTAAAGCTGGTGTCTGTCCTCCAGAATTGCACAGTTTGTGTAGTAGCCACTAGCCACATGCAGTTTGCAATCACTGAAGCCATGGCTAAGTCACATCACGACGTGTGGAGTGCAAGGAACACAACAGATTTCCAAGACTTAGTATGAAAGTTTTTTTGCTGATCACATGTTAAAATGACATTTTCAACCTATCAGGTTAACTAAACTATAGCATTTAATAAATTGTTGCACATTTACCATTTTTTAAAATGTCTACTAATCAATTTCCAGTTGCAGGCTGATTTCCAGTTGAGGCTCCCATTGTGCTCCTGCTAGGCAGCCCTCTCCAGAGGGACATTGAGGGGGACAACTGAACAGAGCTGTCCATATCACTTAGGAGGCAAAGAATGTGAAGGAAGTGCAGGGGAGTCAAGGGAAGCAAGATGCTAGACGGCAGGAGGAGCTCAGATATGAAGGTCAAGTGCTTGTTGGTGGTCTAGTAGATGGGACAGGTCATCAGCCACAGCCCTTGGGCCCCACCATAGAGATCAGGAACAATCTGATCAAGTTATAGGGGCTGGATTCACAGAGGATCAAACATCGGCTGCAAGAAGACTGTGGATTCAGTGTGGAACCAGCATCAGCTGAGATGTGAACTCTGCTCTGGTTTTCATCGTGCTATGATTCTTATTTGTATCCAAAAAGGTCACCAGCTAAGGATGTGGCTCAGTGGTAGAACTCTAGCCTAGCAAGCGTGAGCTCCTGGCTTTGAACCCCAGCACTGCATATATCAACATAAACATTCCTCCTTGAACTTCCAGGAGAGGTTGAAATCCCAGCTGCCTGATTGTGACAAACTCACCCCAGACTTCTCTGTGGACTCAGGACTGTGGCATTTCTTGCGCCCTTTGCTGCATACTGGAGGCCCATTCCTCCCTTGCTTCTCGCTGGAAGAACCCACTTTGGTGCAGAGCAGCCATGGGCCCAGCTCCAAGTGGTGGACCACAAGTGACCTAAGCCAACGTTGCCAGCTGCTTCTCTGTCTCCAGCCTCCCTGGGAGCTAAGGGTGGTGTGTCAACCAGTTCTGGGCAAAAGACCAAAGCCGTGAGGCCGTTGTCTAGAAACTTTGCTGGACAAATAGCGACAGAGTGGGTCTTGAAGCGCGGACGAGTGCTACTGTCGTTGAACCTGTGGACCAGCTCTTCCCCAGCCTTCCTGATGGTCACAATGAACCCTCGCTATTAAAACAATACAGTCTAATGTCAGGTGTGCTGTGACTCGCCACCTCTGACACTCACTCCTGGTAGAGAAACCAAACATTAAAAGGGAACATGATTTGTCCAGAAATGGAGACCACTCCAAAGCGCTCGGCCGCTGCTGCACAGCTCCTGGCCCGACAGCTGGCTGCACCCAGCTCCCAGTCCATCGAGAGGGAAGAGTGTTGAGGATGCGACTGTGGATTAGATCTCCATGGTGCATTCTGATTTCTACATAAACTTCAAAGCTATGGTGAAGGTTTGTCTCACCAATGAAACATGTGTAATTGTGTTACACACATACACACAACCGTTCCATGTGCAAGAATATAAGAATAATCTATTGCTCAAAAAATAATAATAAAAGATTTGGTCACTCTCTGTCTTTAGAAGCTTCAAAACACACTTTTTTCTTATTTTGGTTTTTCCTTTTTCTATATTTTTATTGTGCATTGTAGTTGTACCTAAGGGTGGGATTCATTGTTATATATTTGTACATGTACAAAATAGAAAACAAATATTTACCTCGTTATTATTTTTTAAACCTCTCCTTTTTCTCCCCCATGGCAGACACTGTCGACCACCTACCCCATGGCAAGTCCCTCTCACCACTCACTATTTGAAGTGCAGTTTTCCCAGATGTGGGGAGCCATCGATGTGGAGCAAGTGGCCCACCCAGGGAGTAAGTCCTTATTAGTTGAGGTTGATCATGACAATTCCTCTCCCCTTGCTGGGACAGGTTAGGAAAGGATATAAGACAACTCTGGCCGACAAGCTGAGAGAGGAAGTTTCTGAGAGCCTTCTGAGAAAGCCCCATCCCAGGGGCCCCATCCCAGGCCCGGCTGCAGGAACCTCAGCTCCCAATGAGAGAGATGCCCACATTGTGCTCCTGTAACAGTCCTGGGCATTTCCAGTGGCTGGGACAAGGCAGGAGACACAGCAAGCTCTGCCCTATGCAGTTATTCAGAGGTCCAGGCCCAAGCTGTGCTGTCTTCAACCTGTGACTTCCAAAGTCACACCCCAATTACCCAAATAGGGAGAGTGGCTCGTTTCCCTTGAGAGCATCTCCTAGAAGTTCAACCTAATGGCTACGGAAACATTTGTATTGTTGCTGGACCACATGAAAGTGCATGGCATAACCCTCTGCTGAATTCTCCAGAACTTCTCTGCACCACTAGGACTAAGCTCAGGTGTGTGCTTCAGAGGAACCTGCACCGAAATGCTAATGGGCCAGGTGTGCAGGTGGCACTCATATTCCATTGATATGATGGCACCCACCTGGCCACACCCAACTGCAAGGGAAGCTGGACTGGACACACAGAGTTGTGGTCTGGCTGTGTGTCCAGGAAGAAAATGAAACAGACTTGGTGCAGAATGAAAATACAGAGTTGCATGTTTATACTTACGCAAGATTTCAGAACTGTGACAGCAAAACCTTAAGGCAAGGACAGGGCCCTCCTCAGCTCAGGCACTGCCCAGGTGGAAGGCTGAATCAGCCCTGCACAGCCGAGACGCTGGTTGTGGGCTCCACATCCTCCACCTGCTGACCCCTCATGGCACCCACAGCCCTGTTTTCCCAACAGCACCCTGTTTGGCAGCTCCTTGAGGTCAGGAGCCCCATCGCTTACCCGAGTGCTCATAGGCACTTGTGTGGCTAGTGTTGCCACTTAATCAAATTGAGTCTAAATGTTCAGAGTAATGATTTCACAATGAAAAAGAGAGCCCACAGATTTGAAGGTTTGATGTGGCTTTGACAAAAGCAAATAAGATCCGTTTTGCAAACCAGGTTAAACGTGTGGCCTGCTTTCCTTGACAGCAGCTTCTAAAAGTGTAGCTTAATGACTCCACGAACAGTTGCGTTTTTATTGGAAGATCATAGTAAAAGTGCACAAAATAACTCTCTGCTGAAATGGAGAATTCTTTGGCACCACCTGAACCGAGCTCATTTGTGTGTTTTAAAACAATTTGCATTTGGCCTTGTGCTATGTTGTTCTTGCCCGCAACGCGCCAACCGTGCCAGCATGAGATTATTTTGCAATGGTGCATATTCCTGTCGCCAGGATGGCCCATCACCCGTCTGCCCTCCTTTCAGCCAGGAAACAGTGACACAGTGGTTCCCTGAAGAAGCATGGTCAGGTGCTCACCTGGCAGCCTCTGAGCATTGAGGGTCCAGGAGGACTGAGAAATGTGTGCTTAGGGGATCGTGACCTTGTGTGGACATCCCAGGGTATCCTTGACAAAGCTGGGTGGTACAGACTAGGACACACAGCCTACTGCTCTGCATGGTACTGCACAGAATTCTGTAGGCAGCCAGAACACAGGGTAAGTATCCCTCTATCCACATGGGTTTTTAACACAAGCATTACCCCAAACATGTGAATGATGACACTGAGCTACAATGTTACAATGGCTACTTGATGATAGCAATCTTTCAGCTTTATCATAATATTATGGGACCATCATCCTATATGTGATGGAGCATTAGAGACTTTAATTGGCACATGACTCTTTCATACACACACACACACACACACACACACACACTCACACGCACACGTACACTTTTATGCTTTTTACATGATGAGATGATGTTATATCTACAATTTTATATCTAATAGTTTCAACCCAATATCTCAACATTAATATCTTCCTACATCATTAATTATACTTTATACTTTCATGGTCTTAAAATAGTTTATTACGTGTATGTAAATACCAGGATTTATTGATTTATTTATCTTCTATCTTGGTTATTAAGGTTGTTGATCTCCAATTAAATTTTAAAATGAAAATCCTTAAACCTAGATCTTTAAAAACCTATTTCCTGAAAGTGAATTCCTAGGAGTTAGAAGGCTATAGCGTTTTTAAGTCCCCTGGTCAGTCCTGCTACGTTGCTCTCCAGGAAGTCATCACCTAGTCTTGCTGTCATTGTTCACCGCTTCATGAGCGCGACTGGATTTTAGGCACAAGCTGAGGTCCTCCCGCCGTGGCTCCGGCACCACACTCACTCACTCACAGCAGGATCCGTGTGCACCATGGGTGCTTTGCAAGGGAGCCATTATCCTGTATCGGGAGGACAGTGGAGCATAGAGGACCACGGTGTCTTCCCCGCTGGCCTGGCTTTTTGCCCCAAGAGGAAAAAGAGCCACAGAGCTGCTCAGGAGACATGAGGTAGGGGTATTGGGGCAGCAGACCCCTCCAGACCTAGGGTCTTGGGGACAGTCCATTCAGCCTATTCTACAGGAAGCCAACCACCCCCAACCCCCTGAAGACTGAAAATTTGGGGAGCCCCTGGTGGTGGTCCCCTGCCATGAGCAGTGGCCTTCTTGAGGCAGACAGGGACATCAGCTTGCTCAACCGTAAGCAGCAGTCTTGGATCAGGAGGGAGACACTGATGACCCCGAGGTCTGGTTTAGGGGGCTCTGGGGCAAAGGCAGAATACTGGGGAGCACTCTGGGAAGAGGCTCCTGCTATCCCTCAGCTAACAGGTGACAGCTCCATTACACAGCTAAAACAGTTTTCCTAAGTTTTCTTAAAATTTTGTAAACATTTAATTGTTTTCCTCATAGTTGGAATTCATCCCCTGGTCCTCACCCTAGGAGACTGAAGGGCACACGTGGAGGGTCACTTCCTTACTTCCGTTGACCTCTGTGGGGGGCGAAGGGCAGGGGCTGCAAGGGGCTCCCCCTCGCCCCTCTGGCTTGCAGCCTGCATCCGTTCCTGTGTGTCTGCTGGTGAGAGCGCCGTGGGTTAGCAGCAACTAAAGCCGAGTGCGTGTCGGATAAATGACAGTTAGAGGGCGTGCACGTTTAGCAAAATTGGGAACAGCACTTTAACTTACACTTCCCTAAAAACATAATTGTTTACTTAAGAAAAGCTTTTGGCCTGTTGACAGAAATTAGCAAATGAAAATATATTTTGACTCCAAAAAACTATCAGTAGCTCATTTATCTAGCCTTACCTAACAGAAACAAAGTCTAATCAGTATTGTGATTTGTGAAGGTCAGAAATCAAGGCCTAAGTCTTTTCCACAAAGTTCAAGGCTCAAAGAGATTAGAAAAGAAGTCAATCCGTATATCCTTATCTAGTAGCTATTCCCTCTGTGTCCATCAGTCAACATTTACCCTGTCTGTCACCCACGCATCTAACCATCTCATAATGACAACATGGCAATGAATAGCTGCTGATTATCAGACACTTACTTGATATCATAGCACAGGCCAGGCTTATGCCTGTAACTCCCGTGCAGGGGCTTTTTTGTGTTGTGTAAGGACTCTTAGCCAGAGACCTGCCCTCTTAACATCTGTGCACATGTGCCAGGCACTGTGGTGGGCTCCAGCAATGCCGTGCATGCCTGGATCTCTGGAGCTTTTCCTTCTCCCTTGACTGAAAACTTTGGCCCATTGATCAGTAACGTCCCCTCTTTCTCTGCCTCCTGTAACTAGCTATTATCCCCTCTCCTTGACTCTATGCATTTGACTGTTTCAGATGCCTCAGTGAGTGACGTCATTCATGCAGAACTTGTCTTTCTCTAACCATTATTCGGCATAAGGTCCTTAAGCTTTGTGCGTGTCACGTAGCACAGTTTCTTTTAAAGGCCAAATAGCATTCCTCGGTACGTTTATACCACATTTTCTTTATGCCTCCATCTGCCAGACGGCATTCCTCTAGGTTTTTTTCCACGGATATATGGACAATATCATTAAACCCACTTACTAGATGGAACCCCTGAGTCAGAGAAGTCATGTAACCGTCCAATTTAAAGACCTAGCAACCATTCAGACCAGGTCTTGCCTAACTCCACCTCCTACAGGCCTGGCCCTATGTGCACAAGCACTGGGAGCCATAGATGAAAAGCCACGGGGGCACCTGAAGTGCGAGGTGTGTTGCATGTTTTCTAGAACCCAGCACACAGCCTGCCTGACAGCCGCCACCCAGTTCCCCCTATAAGGAATGAGTCAGGCGGGAAGCCCAGGAGGGAGGTCTATGTCCACGTGGCCTGGGACAGGGATGGGGATTTTCAGAAAAGTATGCACAGAGGAGGGGACCTCCTGATGACTAAGAGTTAGGAGAAAGGAAGGAGAAGGACCTGGCCAAGGAGCCTCACTGCTTCTCTCTGCGTCTGCCCGCCCCCCCCCCCCCCCCCCGGGGTCTGCTGCTGGTGGAGGAGGGTCGCCCGGCAGCCTAGGCGCTGCCAGTCCTGCCCCCCGCGGCTCATTCAGACAGCACTCCAGAGTTCAAGGTCAACTTCAGCCCTGAGAGGCAAAATAAGGATCCGGTGGAGAACAGCTAAAGATGCTTCATTCCGATTGGAAAACTCACCCCGAGCGGCTGCGAGAGCCCCTCTATCTCCCAGGCCAGGGTAACAGGGCAGCCTTCATGTTCCCCAACCTCGGGAAACAATCAGAACCTCTGGGCAGCGCTGCAGGGTCCCAGGAAGTCCCCTCGCACAGACCAGCTTCCGTCATCAAAAAGAACCCGACCTCCGACAGCTTCTCCAGGTCGGTCCCAATCAGTCACCTACATTTCAATTCCCTTTTCTCATCAAATACCAGCAGTGAAATTGCCGGGGCTCATCAGAATTCTGCAGCGATGGATGTTGAGGCTACAGGAACTGAGAAGTAGGTCACCCCGAGGGTGGGAAGGTTGCCGTGCGGCTTCTTCTAACTAGGTTGCTGGAAAGCCCCCATGTGGCAATTATCCCCTGAGTCACCATCGCACCGGTGAAGCGGCAGATTTCAATATCTGAATCTATTCTTCTGAATACAGCAGCGCGTGTGGGGAGGAGCACAGATCTGCTGAGTGAAACCAGATCCCTTCACTCAGTGGAGACTTTCTGGGGCCTTCCAGAGGCCGCCCGCAAGCCAGGCCCCGGGAGCGAGGGACAGCTCGGCTCAGCCCTGCCCTGGAGAAACCCTGGCTCTCGGTGCCCCTGAGGGAGACAAGCAGCAGGCCCTGCCGGAGCTGGAAGTGGAGGTGGCTGGGGCCCATGAGGCGGCAGGTGGCACCAGTGGAGATGGCACTCAGGACAGAACCACCTGCCTCAGGAGGGACAGTAGGTTAGGGACTTGGGGGGACGGCAGGAGGAAGGCAGGTGGGAGAGGCCCACACTGAGGAGCCAGGATGCCAGGGAACAGGCACAGCTCTCACGCGACCAGTGCCCCGTCCCCCACTAACCGGCTAAGTTTAATCTCCACGGATCCTGGCAGGTCCTGGGCTCCAAGGGTTTTGCGAATGAGGAAACTGAGACACAAAGCAATTCAGACAACACAGCCAGGAAGTGTGATCTGAGGCCATGTGCTCCCTGGGTCTCCTGTTAACTCCAGGCTGCCCATGTCCGCCCCAGCGGCCGGCTCAAACCGCTGGGTGGTGCCGATCACAGGGCAGATCTGAGACACCTATTGAAACATCAGGGGCAGTGTGGCCCAGTGGAATTCTGCTGCGGTGTTTCTAGAATGACTGATAAGTCTGTGCTGTCCAAAAAAGCAGCCGTAAGCACACGGCCAGTGGACCCTTGAAATACAGCTCTTTCAACCGAGGAACTGAATTTTAAATTTTATTCCATTTTCATTAACTTCAATTTGAGCCACCACATGTGGCTGCCATGCTGGCCGGGGCGAGTCCAGGGTTGGCAGCCAGTAAGTGCTGTACTTGACGCATGGAAATGTCAGGAAGAACCCGGGCTAGAGACAGGTGAAGCGGGGCTTCCACTTAGCGGTTCCGGGCACTGCCTCGCCGGTAGCACACACCCCCTCCCCCATTTCAGGAAAAGTAAGGCTCTGGAGGTTCAGTAAGGTCCCCCTTCATACGAACGGGGCTCTGCATGGGAACCCAGTTCTGGAGACTGTGTTCTTGGTGATCCCCACCTGGCCCCAAGTCCTCGCCAGCCAACAGGACAGAACATGGGCCTCTGGGTTGGGGGAGCGCAGGCCACAGGTGAAACCACAGAAGTGCATGAGAACCCCCGGGGGGTGTTAGAGGTATGGGGCAGGGGCTGAGAGTGGGTCCTAAGGCACACCAATATGTAGGGGACCAAGAGAGGACTAGCTCAGAGAAAATATCCAGAAAAACAGGAGGAATTTTCTCCTTCATTTTTACCAGCACCAACTTATCCACACATTCATTTTGAGCCAGTAGAAGGAAAATGGCCTGGTCCCCAACAAGTCTGTATCCACAAAGAAGCCAAAAGCCACGGATGCAGGAACAAGAGCCCAGCAGGACCAGAGGTACAGAAACCTAAGAGGTGGTCCCCACCGTCTGACAGGGCAGGCTTCCCGGAGAGGGAGCCTGCAGTTCTTAGAAGCTGAGGTCCTGTGTGGAGCACTCCCTCAGAATGACATTACTCTCCTGCTAACTCCAGTTAATGGCAAGTGCAGTGAAAAAGCCCAGGTTGTGTATGTGAGCTCTTGGAGGTGGCCTCAGAAACCCAGGAGCCTTACCAAGGAATGATGTGGAAACACCAGTGTTTTTCATCAGATCGTTATTTTTACCAAATCATAAAATAGCAGGCTGTCTTGCCTTTTTTTTTTTTTTTCAAGAAAAGCCTGTGATGCATTAGAAACACATCAATACAGTTTATTTGTTAGTTCCATTAAAATATCGCCCCGTGGAGATTCTGAACCGCGATTGTCACCCATGCCCAGGGCACACTGAGTGCCATCCTGGTATGGCCAGGGGCGTCTTGCCTTTCAGCTCCTTCAGTGCCATCTTAACCCTGTCGGCCGAGTCAGCTCCACTAAGTCAAATTAGGGTTTAAAGAAAAGAGACGTGAGCTCCAAGATTAAATGGTATCATTGCCCTGATTCCATTGTCTCGAGTGCAAGATTTTATTTGGAGGAGAAAGTGTAATTATGCCGAGGTAGATCGCTAAATTCTTTGACTTCAAACTCGTACTTTCTGCAAGATTTCACCTGTGAGACTCGCAGTCTTTAATTAGTGCCTCACATGTTAAAAGAGAGCCTTTCTTTTGAATGGCTAATAACGTTATTAGAAGAGGTAATTACCGATCAGGTGTCTGTGGTCAAAAACACTCGCGGGCGGAGGCAACATTCTGGCTTTTGAACTCTGAAATAATTTGGTAGGGAAACACTTTCTCCCCCAGAATGTTGTTGATGTTTTGAATTTGTTGGGTTGGTTTTTTTTTTCTATCTTTTTTTTCTTTTTAAGGAGAAGAAGAAACATTTAGAAATCCATCCTTTTCTGGATGAATTTCTTTCCTTCCCAGAAAGCAAGAAAACAATCGTTTCCTGTAATTGGACAGTTTGATTGGAGGCAGGTGGTGCCGAGCCCGGGAACTGGAGCCACAAAGCCAATTTTGGCTTCCAGCGTGTTTCCTTAGTTCCAAGCTCCAGCCGCACAACATGTAAATTGGCTCCACAGAAGCCAGCTATAAATTTAGTTCCCGTTCCTCTAACAAGCACCTTATCAGCGATGAAGAGTTGAGCAAATGGGGACAGTGCACAGATCTGACATGATCTCCGAGGCGCCCCGAGATACCCCTGCATTCATTTCCCCAACGGGTCCTCGTGGCCACACACTGGGAATTGAGGATGGTTCTGGAAGCAGACGTGTGCCATCACTTTAAAATATGGTGGTGTTTTCTTTCTCCGGGTTAATTGGCCTTTGCATGGCTCGTGTTGCACTATCTTGAGTTAATATTTGCTTTCAATATTTTTGAGCAACAGGCCAAGTCAGCGTGGAGTCGAAGATTACAAACATCAGGCCTGAGGAGGGGCCAGGAGTCGAGGCCTGGAGAGTCAGTGGAATCGGTTCCTTCTCCCCTGCTGCTCTCCTCCACTGCCCTTTCCTTATTTCTCTTCTCAGAGGCCAGATCTTCATCTCAACCGCTGCAGGGCATCTGACAAACAATGTTCCTCTTTTACAGATGTAGCAGCTGAGGTCCAGAGAGGTTAACTGTTTGGGCCAACATCACACAGTAAGTCCAGAGCAGAGAAGAAGGAATAGGTCCAGACACTAACTTCCCAGCCTGCTGGTCTGACCACACATCTATTAATTTTCTCCCTATGGTAAATCCATAATTGAAAACATCATTTATGAGAATCCTGGGGGTGAGGAAAGGCAGAGGGGACTTATCTGGTAATTCTATCAAAGTATCGTCCTTTGTGTACTGAGTTTATTAAATGAGTTACTACAAGGGCCAGCATGTTTATTAATTTCTGTCTACGCTCAAATTTTTTAAACATGGTAACCTGATGCATAGGCAAGTTTTGATCTTTGTTTTCTCTTTCAGAACTTGAAAATAACATTTTCTGATCCCCAATAGATTAATGGCTGAAGGATCAACCTCATTCTCAGATGAACTTCACGTGTCCATTGTGTGTCCATTTGACTTATTCTACAAAATGTTCCAGCTTTGCTATGAACCTCAGGATCATGACACTCTTCTCTCCTAAGGTGACTTCACCCAGGAAATGCACCTGGTTCACTCCCTGAGCCCGTAGCCACCTGTGGTTCGAAGCCTTGACCTCGCTCACCAGTCCCAGGACTTCACCAGCAGCTCGGGCAAAGACAACAGGTCTCCCTTGAGCGGCGGGACAGTTTGATTTGAATCTTTATAAAAAGATATTCTCTAAAGGTATGCAAATGTGGGTGAGATGACGTCTCCCTTCCTGTGGAAGAAAGAGCCCTCCCGCCCTTTCCCAGTTAAGTCACCCTGTCTCTTCCCAGGACATGGCCCCAGCCACTGTGGGTGGGCAGGAGAGGGAGATGGCGATCACAGACACAGTGACCATGGTCTAGAAAGGACGGCACGCTGGGTAAACCTGCCAGAGGGCACATGGAGTTTGCCCAAGCAGCGCTGGCCGATGGTGAGCTCAGAAACCTTGGCAACGCCACAGAACCAGTATTCTTACAGAAGTGGCTCAGGCCTGTCTCGAACAACGTGCTCAGTGTGCAAGACCCAGGCAGCTCGCTGTCGGGATCCAGCAAGGGCACCTCTTCCTCCACCTCTTCTGAGCAAGCAGGCTGGGGCAGAAGCTGGAGTGAAGGTTGGGAGAGAGGAGGGCCAGCGGGAGGCAGGGACAAGGACGGCCACCTCTCGGCACTGCGGCGGCCTCCCTCGGCTCAGAGCAAAGCAGCTGCAGCACCCCCCGATACAGCCCCTGGCCAGCTGCAGCCCGAGTGAGCCACCCCTTGAAGGCCACAGCACCCTCCTGCCCCTCGTCCCAGCCCCGGCACCTCTGCACTTCACGGCCAGGGCGACACCCGCAGCACCAGCCTGCACCCCGCTCCGCCCACCTGTTTCCTGGGGGGACTTCGGTGCCCCTCCTTGTTTATGGATATCCTTTCTTCCCAAAGTCCGTATCTTTTCCGGGGAGTGGGAGGAAGAAGCCAAGAGTTTGACCCCCCGGTCCACAGCATATCAGGTGGACACGGCTAGCAGCCCTGGCCGTGCACACCCCGGAGGTGGGCAGCTCAGGGCCCTAGGTCAGGGTTGAAGGCCAGGAGAGGGGTCACGAGACCATATCAGGGCTGCCATAGCAAAGTCCCACCAGTGGGGTGGCTGCAGGTGGGTCTTCTCTCAGGGTTCTGGAGGCCAGAAGTCCAAGGTCAGGTGTGGGCAGCCCACGCTCCCTCTGAAGCCTCAGGTAGAAGCCGTCCTTGCCTCTTCCAGATCCTGAACGGCCAGCCATCCTCAGCTCATGGCTGTGGCACTTTGGTCTCTGCCACCATTGTCACATGATGTTCCCTCTCCCATCTCTGTGTCTTCTCCTCTTCTTATAAGGACACCAATCATACTGAAGCAGGAGTGCCCTCCTCCAACAGGGCCTCATCTTAACTAATCACGTCTGCAATCCTATTTCCAAATCAGGTCACATTCCAGTGACCTCCCGCGCCTGCCTCGGCACACTGCTGATGCTGTTCCTCCTTCCGGAAATGCCCTTCCCCTCTCTTGCTGCATGTCTGCAAAGCACATTCACAGTAACTGCTTAGATGCCCTCTTCTCCCTGGATCTCCTCGTATGGCCCCAATTCAGAGAAAGAGCTCCACGGTTCCTAAGTTCTCTCAAGGGAATTTGTATGTTCTACTTTATGTCAAAACAATAAATCACTCTATTTCTCTCAGTCCTCGGAGCTCTGCACGATTCCCACTCTCGCTCACGGTGCCCATCAGGAAGTAGAGGTCAGTGAACGCTGGGCCATCGCACTGGAGTCTCATGTCCGGGTGCCGGGGAGGCAACCCTGAGTGGGAACCGCCCCAGGATTCACTGGAAAGTTTTGGCCAGGGCCACCCACTCAGCCTCCACCCTCCACCTCGGAAGGAAGCCATGAGCCACCAAATAGGGACTGCAGCCCAAGTCCAGGGGCCACCTTCTGGCCGTTGGGCCTCCAGGCTGCCCCACCGGCGGAGGGCCTGGACGCTGGCCCTTCTCCCTGCAGATTCCCTGCCTGGATCTCTGGCCTCCACGTTCTAGGTGTCCGAATCCCGCCAGCACCTCAGGCCATGGAGGGCACCCATCTCTCACCTTCCCCCGAAGCCTAGTGCCCAGCTCTGGGGCCTCCTGCAGCCCCCTCTCCTGAGATGATTCGCATCCTGCACCTTCTCCTATTGCTGTCGACTGTTCCATGTGACGGTGTCTTCCTCTCCAGCTGGAATGCAAGGGTGTGGGCCATAGGTCAGCAGCTGGGTCTTGTCCTTCGGTACCAGCTGTGACTGCAGGACATGCCAGGGCTCCCCAGGGCACGTCCCTTCCCCTGACCAGGGGTCCTAGCCAAGGGCACACCTCCCCAGAAAACAGCCCAGCTCCAACCACCATGCACTCCAGCCTGTTTGGTTTGGAGGGATTTCTGGAACCCCCTGGTCACACAGGAGGCAGAGGCCAACAGGGCTGCTCTCTCCCGGTCTGGACGTCCTCCTGCTTCCTCTGGTGCACCAGCCCTGGGCACAGAGCATTTGGAAACTCAGGGTCTCTTCCATTTACTGTCACCTGATTTCTTGACTTCCTTCAGAGCAGGGGTTCCCTGCCCACGGAGACATGTTGTTCCGTCCCTAGTTCTAATTCTTGGAGTCACAATACCACTTGCTAAGCTCTTGGTATGTGTCAGCGAGTCTGGGTGTCCTCAGGTATGTCTTCTCTCTAATTAGTTCAACTGCCTTGTGAGTTACATGCTATTCCGCTGTCCCATGAGGGAGTCACACTCGTGTGGGAGGCGAAGAAGCAGAGCTGCTCTGGCCATCCGTCTTTTCTTCACGCCATAGTTATTATGGGTCTTGGTGTTAACAGGGGCTGAATTCTCCCATGGTGTATTTTCTGCCCTCTGACACCTTACACCTTACATCTTAGCCCACAAAAAAAAAAAACTATTTTAATCCCTTTTTCATGATCAGCCTTCAGATATCTGAATGTAACCAGCCTGCCCCTCCAACCCAACCACAGGTCAGGTACGGATCCCGACTAAGTGAGGGGTCATCTGTCAAATAATGGAGGCACTTCCGAACTTGGGCTTCAACAGCCTGATGCTCTTGGATGACTTCTTGACAGCCGTGGTGAGCTTCATCACTGACACGTGGGTATCAATGTCGCTGGGATGGTCTCAGGGAGGAGGAGCCGCTGATTTAATGTCATTTCAGCCTTCCTACTCTGAAAACCCCCACGACCCCCATTGCTAGGAAGACGCTTGTCTTGCTGGTCTTCAAATGGAAGAACAAAGTCTCCAACTCGGCCTCCCAGCTCCTGGCTGACCTCAGCCTCCAGGAGGGGGGCTCGGCCCTGTGGGACGGGCCCCTGGGCCACTCAGCCTCTCACTTGCCGGGCTCTTGCCCTCCCTGCTCTCGTGGCGTGCGTCTGTGGCCACACAGCAGCCTCAGGAGCTGAGCTTCCTCCGGGCCCTGTCCTTTGCCACACAGGGGCCCCCACGCTGGTGTCCTTCGTGGCATGTCCCTTGGCCTCAGCCTGTCGGGGCATATCCGTGCTCCCTCCAGCTCCTTGACCTCCATCAAGTCCTCAACCAACCTGAGATCACCGCTCCCTCACTCTGATGTCCCCCCAGGACCCCTACAAGCAAGGGCTGCACCTCCTAATCCATATACTCTCAGCCCCGGTCAGATATTGGGCACACAGCAGGGAGGAGGGGAAAGAATGAGGCAGTTTCCTAGAAGGGGCGTCTGCCTTCCTGTGGGTGGCCTCCAGCTCCTCACTGACGAGGGCTGTGAGGAGCACCTGTGTCTCTTCCTCTTCTTCTGCAACCAGGCGGAGGATGGGGAGAAGATTTGTGGGGCCTTTGGGGCCCTAATATTTCTAACCAGAGAAAGAAATTGCTGCTCGTTTCTGAGTGCTTCCTGACTCAATCCTTTGGCAAACTGTGAGGGAAGCCACAGGTAACTCAGCAGCGCAGGGGGCAGTCAGGCAGAGCAGACCTGGAACTGATCCCTCCAACAGGAAGACGCAGGAGAAGCGCTGCCCCAGTTCCAGCAGAGTTGAGAAGGTGGGCAGGACACCGTGCATGGGATTCTCAGGGCTAAACTCCAGAGCCCAGGTATTGCACACCTGAGCCCCAGGTGCTGCACACTGGGTCGTCTGGGGTGCTGTAGGTCTGACACCTGCCTGACAACAAGTGCCTTTGCTGGAGAACTCACATTCCACACGGTGTGACAGTCTGTGGAGCACTGTCACACACCTTGACCATGTGACTCTCAGTACAGTCCTGTGAGCTGTCATTTCCAGTTTACATATAAGAACACTGAGTCCCAGGAAGGTTATTTGACTTGCCCAAGAGCATCTGTTAAGTAAGTGATAAAGCCAGGGCTCAGCCCAGGCCTCCGAGCCTCGTGCTTTCTCTGCCTGAGCCGCTCACCCTTCTGGTGGGAGCAGAAGCTGGCATACACCCTGGGAAGAGCTCACAGCCTCGTGGCCAGAGGATTGGAAATGAGTACACTCCATACGTTGACCCATGGAGTACCTTCTGGGAGCCATCCAAATGACATATCCCAGACTGTGGGAAAACAAGGTGTATGTACAAATGCACAAAGATGTTCGCTGCTTTCTTGTTTATTGAGAATATATTATATCCTGAAAACCTGGGAACCCCTAAAACATTCAGCAGTAGGAAGTAGCGCAGCATGTTCAACCAAGCAAGTTAAAACAGGCATGAGTTCCTGCTGTCAGCTGTCTGCAGGGTGCAAGCTCCCGCCACCCTCACGGGAGTCCCACACACCCCTGGGTGGAAGAGAAGTGTATATAAAGAAGAAAATCTCATGGGTTGGATACACTGGCCAGGTGTTGGCCTCTGACAACTCACTTAAGGCTCTTGAAGCCTGGATGTCCTCCTTTGTAAAAGGAGAAGGTTAATCCTAAATTGGCCAAAATTGTAGTCTGCGTATATCTGCAGAGCTGAGCACCATGGGGGAGAGGACAGGAGGGCCAGCGGATGAAGGGCAAACACAGCGCCCGACAACCCGGACGCCAGAGGACCTCGGCTTCCTATATGCTTCTTAATTTATTGTAACTTAAATTGAATTTCTGAGACACTGAATAATGTCCTCTGGCTCGAGATCACCTCCGGACCACTCTCATGGTCCTCCCTGGGCTTCCATGTGTTTGTGAGAAAGGAGACTGCAATTCCTCCAGAGAGTTGTGACAGGACCAGCTGTCCCTGTCCTCTGCATGTGTCACTCACCAAGCAGGGAACGTTCTAGAAGACAGAGGTGCCCCAAGGTTCCAGATCCTGGTGCCATGTTGGCTGTGGGTGTGGAAACCCTCTCAGGGATTCTCAATGCTCACCACAAAATCAGAGCAGAGAAGGTGAACAGTGGCCACTCTCCGAGGCAGTGGGCTGAGGTCAGAGTTCGCGGTATTGGGGAGAGGTGGACGTGACGCCTGAGGCCTCTGCATCTTCAGTGGGTGACCAGGGACAAGTGCAGAAGCCGCTCCACACAGGAGTTTCTTCTGTAGAGACAGAGATGGCTCTGCAGTGGCGGTCACGGTGCAATTGATAAGCTCCTCTGCAGAGCGGCACCATGCCCATGGCTAAGAGTGTAGCTCCAGGGAACAACGTGTGGCCCAGATAGCACTTAGCCTGTCTCTGGGCTACCTCCTTCCGTCCCAACAGCGATGGCACCTGGTCCCTCTGCCTGGCAGCTTCGGCAGATCTCCTAACACTGCCTTAAATGTGCAAAGTGCTTCGCAGTTTAGAAAGTGCTCCCTGCCGTCCAACACTGGAAAGGCGATTGGTCCGAGTGCCTTGGCTAGTGGCTCACCCAGTACTCAGACCGGAGGTGACGTCACCCGCCCCGCTGTCCTTGACCCACACGCTGACTCCAGATGCAGGACTCTTTCCTCAGCAGAAAGAAAACTCTTTCCCTGCACAAAGCCAAGTGGCCTGCACTGCTGAGAACTGCCGTGGCCTTCTGAGGCCACGACACTCAACACGTGGCTGGTGTTGGCCTCCACCCTGCTCCACCGACCAGCCCACCCAGAGGTCACCAGGTCACGAGCACTCACATGGCCTGGCTGTCTTCCCTGCTTCTAAGATAAGTGTTTCCACCAGTTAAAACAAAAACAAGGAAGGAAATAAAGTAGGTCATTATATTTTTAAATGTGTGTGTGTGTGTGTGTGTGTATAAAGCACAGAATACGTCATAATAATAAATGTAGTAAGTAGACATACAGAAATATGTCTTTAGATATAAAGATACTTTCACCTTGGTGTCTCATTTTCCTGTTTCTGTAATGAGCTGTGAGGATAACAGCATCCCCCTTTAACAATCGAGTACTTTTTATCCGTGAGCCAACAAAAACACCAGCTGCCCCAGAGACTCCCATCACCCCTCCCTGACCCTACCTCTGATGGTGGGCAGCAGTGCAGGTGGGGTCTGCCCTCCATGGAACGTGGGACCCCCTGCAGGCTCCCCTGATCTGCATGCCACCACTGTCTCTGCCCAGGGTTTAAACTTCTTTCCCTCGCTTTGATGAAGCATGGGGGGAGGCGAAGTGTCCCCTGGTGGGCGCCATCCTTCTCCTCCACCGTGGGTGTGGATCACAGTGCTGGCCCCGCCCACCAGGTCAGCCATGTCCAGCTCCTCCAGGCCAGGAGTGGAGCCTCTGGGCACCACGGGGGTATGCTTC